TCATATGTTTCAAACTGACTGAAATAAAGAACGTACACGAGGAAAAAACGTGATTCCGTCACGCTTGGACAGGTCGAATACTCTTTTCCATTCTCGAGCTAATAATAAATACTAACTGTCATTTGATTTTATCTCTAATATTCTGAAGTAAAAGTTTGAATATATGACAGGCTATATTAAAAAAAAAACAGCAATAAAAATTAAGCAGAATATTACTGATAATGAATAGCAATATCTCATTCTATATTTTGAATTGGTCTATTCGTGATTATTTCCAAGCTGATCTTGGAAATTAATCAAGTGAAAACTTTTGAATATACAATCGGGTATACGTCTGATATCAGAAGCGAATAAAACTGATACGAATTCATTGTAATGCTATTAAATTTTAAAAAAGAAAGAAAAATGCATAAGAAAAAATATATCACATTGATCCTTTTTTAATAACATCGAAAGTGACTATCATGCTATTATAAGTGACTTCTAATTATTCCATTGGAATTCCAAATAAAAGAGTTTTACTTTATTTCTTTTTTCTTTTTTGTAACATCCTCGTTAGTATTTTCAATGCTCTTCATTTCTTAAAATATTTCTTTCCGTCTTTTCGTTTGCCTTACAACGATTCCTTTTCTTTTCAATTATTTTCATTAATCGAGATAGTTATACTAAAGGAGTATAAGTTGTTTATCATTCTAAAATCATATCGCCTCCAAAAAAGAATTCCACTGACATAAGGGAGAGATAGCTATCATATTGATCCTTTGTCATGTTCCACACAAATGTGAAACAGTGTGCACAAGTCAAGGACGATCGTCGATTATGATTAGATTCTGCACAAGGTATTGAAGATTTGAAAGCTTGACATTTCAGTGATTTCAAGTTTGACGTGTATACTAGGGCTACGAAGTCTCGTTGAATGCAAAAATCTACATCATTTTGAACAGAACTTTTGATATATTGCACAATATATTGTCAGTGATGCTTTGTTGAGGATATGACTCTTACCTGTTCTAAAACCAACACAAAGATCAATACGAATAGTCAGAAACGAACAAGAAAAGTCAATATTTCTTGCACAATATCTGAAAGTCTGCTAGATGTTAGTTGGCTTAATGATATTCTTCTTTCGTATTCAAACAAAAAAGGATAGTGAAGTCATGTACTTTCAAACAAGTTAAAGTCAGTCGACTTCACTAAGTTACTATCTGGAACTCAGTACATACTGATCTTCAATGATACAATTTAACTGTAATTATGCACTAGATAAATTTAACTTGCCTTGAATAGATTAAGAGAAATAAGTTTTGTTTTTCCAAATGTCGCCAATTGAACCATTTGTCTGAACCATCCTAAAAAGAGCAAAATCTTAGGTTGCAGGTGTGGGTGGGTGTCTCATTCTACTCGGACCCACACCCACATATTAAGCCAATGCAAACCATATAAGAAAATCAATTATTGAAAACTTCTTTGTTAATTGTTATGGAACATCAAAACAGTACGGACTTCTTGCACCAGGTTAACTTCAGGTTCTAATTATAACTACTATCTTTAGTTATGAGCTAAAAAGATGGGATGGGAAATTAAGTTTTTCGTTATTTCAAACGCAGTGACATCAGACTGATTACATTTAAATTAGATGATTTCAATATTTATTCTCAAAAATATGATACTGCAACGAAATCGACCCTTCTTTACGAACTGCTGAGAGTCTATTTACAGATCAAATGTGCACTGTAAGAAAAAAAGATATTGACAACTTGCTGAAATCGTACTCGAACAGCAGTTCATTTTAATTCAGTTATACTTCTTAAGAACACGGAATGAGAATGTGAGTTCATTAACGAATCAACATCTTGCAAAGAGGATAGTCGTCTATCTATATGAGACAATAGGAAGGAAACAGGACATACAAAATGTGAATAATCATGGCAAATTAATTTATACAGAGAGTGATCTGAAGAGCACCACATATGTGTTAGTGAATTCTGACTTGAATACCTAGTCTTGGTTCCTGGACAGTGATGCTTGTTTGCTGCTTTTTGAGGAACTTGTCTTGAACGTAGTGATAAAATTGAATGATAAGCGGTGCTATGACACGTAGAGCGATGAGCAGACCACCGAAAAGCCCGAGGAGTGTCGTAAGTACATAAACAGTGCCACCACGGATTGTAAGTGTGTAAGTACACTCAGCCGGTGCGCAAGTCTTGTAATAATCAGAAAAACTCATTGTAGTCTCCCATGTTTCAACCATCTGTGTATCCATAATGGAAGAAATTAAAGTGGTTTTTGAGAAACGTGATGCAATGGAGCTGTTCAATGGTTTAGGCCAGGCCGTTGGTGGAAGAGTCGATATCTGTTGTGCTGTGGCATTCAAACATACAGGGTCGAAAAAACACTCGAGTGTTGCAGCACTGAGAGCAGTGTATGGCATACAGCCGACTCGCATTCCAGGAACAACAAAGATTGGCGGTGGTTGAGGAGTCATCCTGTGTACTATGGATCGTGACTCGGCTGCCCATGAGTAAATACCAGCTTTGTACGTCACCGTACTCGTTTTGTCACAGTAGCCGAAGTTATCTTTTGAATCCTATATATTATTTCATAATTAACAAGATTCAATTAAAGTTCTGCTCATAGCTTCCTCTTTTGTTAGAAAGCATCTGATCGATTTCTATATTTAGTCTCTGTTTATCGATATATATGGATGAATTTTATTTCTAACGATAAGAAATTATTATAACTTCTCTCGTTTTTGGTTAAGATTCTAATCAACGGAGTTAGAAATATAAAAAGTGAAATTTAGTTGTAGAAATATAAGCGCAAATTTTATCTTGTACAACGACAATATCATTATACAAACTATTTGAGCTTTTTCAAATTTTACTCAAATATCTACGTTCATCGTGTGAACTTACTATAATCCTCAAGAATCCCTAAACGTTTGACATAGGTATGATTTGTCTAGTTCTATTAATTTTTCGTAGAACCCGTAATTACTTATAATCAATCGCTCTCAAATGATTTTATTATTTAGAAAGAATTATAACTAAAAACCTTTCACTAACGTAAACCACTTCTGTTTGTTCTTCAACAGTCTATCAGGAAGAACAGATATGTTAAATGTTTCACTGAATCTGCAACAGACAATGACTAAAATCTGGAAACGATATACATATTCTCTCAACTTTTTTATTTCAGTTCAATCCTTTTAACATGTCTTCTGTCAAACAATACAAAGAAAGTGACGAATGATGCTGAATATCTATCGAAAAGGTTTCATTGTGTTTCATATTGTATTCTTTTGTTGATTGTATTGGAGTATTTTATAGATAATTCTGAAATTTAGCTACTGAACCAAATATTCAACAATCTTGCACAAAACTGAGAATGTAAAGAGGTTCATTTCTAGCGTGGAAGCAAAATCCTACGCTATAAAGTTTCTAGCATAAAACTAGTACTAGTACCATTTCATTATATACTGACTTTGGTTCTGAAAGCATTGTATCATGTTCAAAATGAGTTTTGACATTAAAGGATGAATGCCCAAAAGCAATTCGAATTATAAACGTATGATGACATAAATTTGACAAATATAAGTCTTATTCTATACGCAGAGTATGATATTTAACACTACGTTGAATTGTGACGAAAACCGAATTTTTTGCTCAGAAAAAAAAATAGAGAATCCTCAAATGCCTTTGATGCCTTGTATTCAATATGGTTACCAGGCTCCCTCAGAATACTTTGCAATATTTGCTATTGATGAGCTCTTTTCTCTCTTGAAATAATGAAAAAAAAGGAAAAATATTATTTGGAATGAAATACTAAACTTCGAACCAACATGAGACAGCTTATTGATTTATTCCATGAAATTGATGAAAATGTGGTAGCTTTTGAAATCTAATAATATATTAAAATAAGAGTACCTAGGACATATTTGCATGCAAAACTTATGTTTTGGGCCNAATTATATCATTGAAGATCACTATGTACTGAGTTCTAGATAGTAACTTAGTGTAGTCGACTGACTTTAACTTGCCTTGAATAGATTAAGAGAAATAAGTTTTGTTTTTCCGAATGTCGCCAATTCAACCATTTGTCTGAACCATCCTAAAAAGAGAAAAATCTTAGGATGTGGGTGTGGGTGGGTGTCTCATTCTACTCGGACCCACACCAACATATTAAGTCAATGCAAACCGTATAAGAAAATTCATTATTGAAAACTCCTTTGTTAATTGTTAGGGAACATCAAAACAGTTCTGACTTCTTGCACCAAGTTAACTTCAGGTTCTAATTATAACTACTATTTTTAGTTATGAGCTAAAAAGATGCGATGGAAAATTAAGTTTTTCGTTATTTCAAACGCAGTGACATCAGACTGATTACATTTAAATTAGATGATTTCAATATTTGCTCTCAAAAATATGATACTGCAACGAAATCGACCCTTCTTTATGAACTGTCGAGAGTCTATTTACAGATCATATGTGCACTGTAAGAAAAAAAGATATTGAAAACTTGCTGAAATCGTACTCGGACAGCAGTTCATTTTAATTCAGTTATACTTCTTAAGAATACTGAATGAGAGTGTGAGTCCATTAACGAATCAACATCTCGCAAAGAGGATAGTCGTCTATCTATATGAGACAATAGGAATAATCATGGCAAATTAATTTATACAGAGAGTGATCTGAAGAGCACCACATATGTGCTAGTGAATTCTGACTTGAATACCTAGTTTTGGTTCCTGGATAGTGATGCTTGTTTGCTGCTTTCTGAGAAACTTGTCTTGAACGTAGTGATAAAATTGAATGATAACCGGTGCTATGGCACGTAGAGCTACGAGCAGACCACCGAAAAGCCCGAGGAGTGTCGTAAGTACATAAACAGCGCCACCACGGGTTGTAAGTGTGTAAGTACACTCAGCCGGTGCGCAAGTCTTGTAATAATCAGAAAAACTCATTGTAGTCTCCCATTTTTCAACCATCTGCATTTCCATAATGGAAGAAATTAAAGTGGTTCTTGAGAAACGTGATGCAATGGAGCTGTTCAATGGTTTAGGCCAAGCCGTTGGTGGAAGAGTTGATATGTGTTGTGCTGTAGCATTCAAACATATAGGGTCGAAAAAACATTCGAGTGTTGCAGCACTGAGAGAAGTGTATGGCATACAGCCGACTCGCATTCCAGGAACAACGAATATTGGTGGTGGTTGAGGAGTCATTCTGTGTATTATGGATCGTGGCTCAGCAGCCCATGAGTAAATACCAGCTTTGTACGTCACCGTATTCGTTTTGTCACAGTAGCCAAAGTTATATTTTGGATCCTATGTATTATTTCATAATT